GTCAGCCCAGAGGCCGTCAGAATGAAGTGAAAGAAGAACCAGAGAAGGCAGGAGGGAACTATGTGGAACTGCGTTTAAAACTGAGAGCAGTAGGCACTTCTTTATGCAGAGACGTGGGAGTGTGGAACAAAATTACCCAGCCGTGTTGTCCAAGACTTGGCTTTTTTAATGATACAGCTAGATAAGATCCCTGTTTCAATTAGCTACTGATTACAGCACAGGCTAATTGGGTCGAATGGTCTACTCTCATTTGTGCCCATTCTTATTAACATCTTACTTGGTTTCCAGAATGCACCTTTCATCCTCAACACTCTCCAAAGCCGTGTGCTGCATTTCTTTTCTGTTGCCAAATCACACAGCCTTAGAGTCAATAACTCATTTTAGTAGTTGTAGGGAAATGTAAGTGTAGGCGAATGTCCTCTTTAATTCAGAACAGTGTTTTACCCTCATCTTGCGTGCCCACAGATCACTCCGAGAGCCCTGCTGTTTGGCCACATGGCTTCCATCACATGTCTGTCCAAGGCCAGCTCAGGCAGTGACAAGCAGTACATTGTTAGTGCCTCTGAGAGTGGGTGAGTACGAGCAGCCTCCCATGAAGATCCAAGATGTCACCTGGTTAGCCAGAGATCATAACAGCTCTTGCATTTCCAAACTATTTCCTCCGGTTTTGTCCTTTTAAATAAGGACTTTTAGTCAGCAGTTCCTCAGATGTATTGCATTCAAAAGATGAGGGCAGACAACCTTCCTTTTTTTGTCACAGTCAGCTCTGTAACTGAATTACTTGGCACTCACTTGGGTTGATTAGGCACTGATTTTATTTAGCTTCCAAGCCTTACTGCTACACCTTAATTCTGATCTCACCCTTCACCTCAGCTCATCTACTTCCCCTGCCTAAAACAAACCCTCACAACTTAATCCTATCAGATAAAGATCACCTTGAAGTTAAGGAGATAAGGAGTTGAGGAGTGTGTTATATGAACTGCATGGGTTGTGCCTGTGTATCAAGGTAAAAACATTCATTTGGAATGCTTTTGTCTTGTAATTGTTGATGAATTGCTTAAACACCAGGTCTGGCCTTCATTTGTGAAGGATTAAAGAGGGTTTCCCTGCTGCCATCTTGTAGTTGTGCCTGAACGCAACTGTGAAAAGACTGTGAGAAGACAATAATCTTCCCCCATTGCCTCTTGGCCTCTTGTCTTGCTTAGAAAATGCCATGTGCAAGAAACTGTGTCTTTGTGCTCCTCTGTCTCCATGCAGGGAGATGTGCCTGTGGGATGTCAGTGATGGGAGGTGCATCGAGTTTACGAAGCTGGCCTGTGCCCACACTGGAATACAGGTAAAGATCATGGGAACACCTGCGTCTTCTTTGTGAAGGGCAGATTCAGCTCATTCGGCTAAAGTGGAAAATCTTTGATGGAGATTTACCCGAAGAGCAGTTTTCCCAAAGTCGATTCAGTCCACTTATTATTTAGTAGTTTTCAGTTGTGGGTGCATTGTCTGGTAAGTGGTTTGGTAAACGGATTGTAAACTGATCTTTTATCTAAAACAAAATTGAATGATGGTGTCCTCCAATACAGAAAGCACATCACTGTGTTACTCCCCTACGATAGTAATTTTATGAGCAGTCTATCAGATGATAAGTGAATGATGAAAATGAGATGAAAATGACATCGCACATCGTCACTTAATCAAGCTGGCTGTTGTATGTTGAGCCACAGTCAGTTTGAAGGAGATTCCTAATGGGTTGATTGTGCACCGCATGTCTAATCGGTTTCTTTTTGCGCTTTCTAGTTTTATCAGTTCACCATTGGTACCCAGCGGGAGGGAAGACTCCTGTGTATCGGGCATTATCCGGAAATCCTTGTCATGGATGCCACCAGCCTGGAGGTCCTCTACTCCTTGGTGTCCAAGATAGCTCCCGACTGGATTAGCTCGATGAGCATTATCCGTTCTCATCGGACACAGGGTGAGTCGTAGTCTCCTACTGGGCCGCTGTGCAAATCCCAGGCTTGATGGGAATACAAGATAAGCATCTTATAGCTCTTAACATGGGACGCTGAGGAGCAAATGCCAGTAGTGATGTTTAAGGGCTCTTGGTTTTCCTCCACTGCCTCATGGGTGTATGTTAGATGCATGTAAAAAGAGTCCTAAAAAATGAGGGGCGTGACAGTAGGTTCTATGCATGCCAGCTGATGAAGAAACGAAACCACTGGATTTTGAATTCTGAAACGCCGGGTAAAGGAATGAAAACTTCCACTAGCGTTCAGTAATGCTGTCTCGATCATCATTCAAGGAAACTAAGGGGGAGAGCATTGATCTGAAATGATGTTTTTTTTTGGTAAGATTTACTGTTGTTAAACGAGGCTAAAAAACACAATCATAACTACTTCATAAACGCCACACAGCATGATTAGAACTACATGCCCGACGATCACACATCAAAATAAGATTTCATAAACATACCAGGACCTCTGTTACTGAGTGTGTTTCCTTTCCTCTTTGTTCTGCAGAGGATACAGTTGTGGCTGTTTCAGTGACTGGAATATTAAAAGTCTGGATCATTACCGCTGATGTCAGTCGAATGCAGGTATGAAACTAGCAGTGAAGTAAGAACAAGGGCGAGATCTCTCTAAAACGAGCAAACTAGTCTTTGCAATAGCATTTTCAGAATTGCATATGGAAAAATATTTAAAAGGCCTACTTAAAGGTCCCCGTAATAGAGAACTGTTTTACAAATATTTTGAAAGTTTAACGTCAGGTAATAGGGTGGCATGGCGGTGCAGCAGTTCGCATGGCTGCCTTGCATTGCTGGGGCCCAGGGTGTGATTCCTGGGGTGCTACAGTACCTGCATAGAGTTCGCCTGGTCTCCATGTGTTTGTGTGGGTTTGCTCGGGGTGCTGCAGTATACTGATTTTTTTTTTCTTATAAAATATACTTTATTCGGGAAAAAAAACACATCTCAAAAAGAAAACATCTCACACAGTAACACTCCACAAATTCAAACAACGGCGGAACGGCGGTGATTGTCCGTTATCAATCCATGCAAGGGTGGGCGGATTTGCGCTATTATGCTGCAGTATACTGATAGGCTGTTGGGCTGCATGGAAGATGGACCCTGCTGTGAGCGTCTGCGTGGCGGTGTTTGTCTGTGTGAGCTCTGTGACTGGACTTCAGTCCAGGATGTGTCCAGGCCTTGAGCCTGTTGCTTGCCGGGATTTCTGGGATTTCTAACTGTGTTGGGTAAAGCAGTTTGAAAATGGATGGGTGGAGCTTAAGGTAGCAATACATTTTTGGTGCATTACTTATGTCTTCAGCGCTTCCAGAAATGCATCACAGGGGCTCAGATGATCAGAGGATGGTAGATTGATTAGAGGAGAGGATGTAATCATAAGGCAAAAATGATTGTTAAATCTGTAATGGACAGTTAGGACCCTGAGTTGAATGCTGATTATATTATTTATAGTTCATTAGCAGCACTGCTACCTTTTTTGCTAGCTTTTTAAGCCGGGCAGTGTTGCAGTTATGAAAATAAAAACACACTTTTTTTTTCTCTATCTGCCGCTAAACTTCATGGATGCATCGTTTTTAATTTATATTTGTCCATTCTCAGTTTGAATGATCTTTTCTTGTTACTCTGAAGATATCAGTTGAATATGAATGCAGTTTTTACAACCGAATGCAGTTGATATCTTTTAAGAGCAAGAAACTAGATAGCTCTCAAAGCAAGCTACTACTATTCATGCATGTCTGACAAATGACTTGAAGAATACTCTTGCTTCTTAAGTGAGGCCTTTTGATGAGATATAGAGCTGTAATGAGCTAGAGCTATAATGGTTTTATAATGTTGAAGAATGACCTCACCTGTTGGTTCTATTCTAGGTCACTGATCCAGTCTTTGAAGAGGAATCCAAACCCATTTACTGCCAGAGCTGTCAGAGCATTTCCTTCTGTGCTTTTACCCAGCGATCTTTACTGGTGGTCTGCTCTAAATACTGGAGAGTAGGTGGACTTTTGGACAACGTTGAAAATGCAAATACACACACACACAAATAATCTCCTTGCACATTACAAAGAAAACCAGTTGAATATATTGCTGGTATTGGTGGACTTGTGGTTGGCAGTCCTCTGACTGGAATTGATATTTCAGTATGGAGACAAGGATGATTGTGCTGAAAGTGGAGCCATCTTTCAGCTGCAGTACTGACTGCTTGAACAGTAATGATCACAGGGCACAGTATAGGTACTAAATGCAGAATTATTACTTCCGTTCTAGTTTTCTAAGCAAAATGAGTTTACAGACTCATTAATATTAGGATAGAAGTGGTATAATCTGGACTGTAAGAATTCATTATCGTACTGCATCTCAACTTTTAGGTAATCTATGAAATAATTTCGACTATACTGTGCCAAAAATAATGTTTCGTTTTTAATGTATTTCTTCCTCTAGCATTTACACAAGTAATGTTGCCCATGACTTTTCACATCCGCTTTGTTCAATGCTTAATCAAACCAAACAATATGATTTTTTTCTTAGCCTAAGTGATCCACGAACAGCTACAGTCATATATGTTAAACGTATTATTAGGTGTCTCAACAGACTTGCAGGATGGTGATTTTTCTTGTTGTTTGCTAACTCCATGAGTCATGCTGTTGTGGAGGATCCCTTGACTCTGGTGGTGTAAGTATGCACTGTTAGATTTTCTTTTCAAGGCCATGTTCTTCAGCCTGTGCTACTTTTCCAGGTGTTTGATGCTGGAGACTATTCCCTCCTATGCTCTGTGCCCAGTGAGAATGAACAGTCCTGGACAGGGGGAGATTTCATCACTGCAGACAAGGTCATTATATGGACAGAAGAAGGAAGCAGCTACATCTACAAGCTCCCAGCAAGGTACACGGGATTATTACATTTTTAGAGGAGGACACTCAATGACAATCAAAGCCCAGCCGCATACTACAAATTAATTGATCAGTAGTGGAACCATACGTGACATGCCTATGTACATTTGCCATTCTATAACTCTTTAGAAGTGGTTTGATTCTGGGCTGTTTTAGTGGTTAGGCAGTTGAGATGAGGGCAGGCTCGACCCTGGGTCCCGGATACCAGCATCATGGGCTGCAGAAGACCCTGATGTTAAACAGCCTCTCGCATCCTGCAAAGGGACACATCTAAACCAAGTGACATACCCTGAATAGGCTGTTATACAATAGCTCAAACACAACACAACCTCCCTCCCGCCTTAAAATGTAAACTACTTTGTATGCAACCACCTTTTATATATCAGGATTTATATGTTCAATATATTTATTTAATTTTATGTTATACCTTAGCATGGGTGATGTACTGTATATGCAGTCCATCTGAGATAATATCTGCACCTTGCTATGCTACTTTATAAATCTCAAGGACAACAATTTTAACAATGGCATACTGAATATATTTTCCTCCAGTTAAAAATAAGTCGCACTAAATAAAAGTTCATGCAAGTTTGAATTAAAAAAAAAAAGGTTTTTAATGGAGTTTGACTTGGAGTCATTATGGGCTGCAGACAGTGAACAGCATGAGGAATGGGGAGTTCTCTTTGGCTCTTCTGGGGCTTTGGAGATAAGAAGGACTACAGTTTCACTGTCCCCTCTGCCTCTCTCCTCTGTTAAAGAAGGTGAACACTGGGCTGCCATTTGTGTCAATGTGTTTTTCAGCTGTCTCCCTGCCAGCGAGTCCTTCCGCAGCGACGTGGGGAAGACTGCAGAGAGCTCCACCCCCCCTCTCCTGTACAGCACTGTGGGCAGGACAGACAAACAGGTCGCTTATCACTCACCAGCAGCCTTGCTGTACTTGGGAGGCACATAGCGTGACATCAACCTTAACGTTGACTAGAAATGTGCTGCTGATAAATGC